ACGCTATTCAAAAACTTGAAGGATACGACAATGTACGTTATACAAGCGTTCGAATATTTATCCGTCATCATTTTCGTGCTGGGCATAATTGGCAATTCCTTGGGGCTGTATTTCGCCATGAAAGATAAAATCGTTTACATCAGGGTCTATTTAACGCGCGTTTTCCACGCCGTAAATCTGGTCAACTATATTTTCATGCTGATTTACCCCGTCGTGGACATTAACGCCGAATTTCATTTGGCCCCTTTTAGGAATCGAATACCGTGGAACAACAGTCTGGTTCATTACCACTTCACTTTAGCCAAAACGTTCGTCAATTTTTCTTTCGGCGTTTACATCATTTTCGCTATCTCCCAAATGATCGCTATCATTTACCCCTATTCTTACAAATATTACTTCACTCGTACGCGAACCAAAATAATGCTAGCGGTGTGTTTTTTGTATTACCTAGCGTGGTACATACCCTCTAGTTGGTGGTTCGAAGTTTCGAAAGTCGAAAATATATGCGGATTTAATCCAAAATATGTCGTTTACGCTCGGATATTCGCGCCCTACAAATCGGGGGCCGAAAAAACGGGGTGGATTATTTTCGGGTTTTTTAGGGAAACCTTCACGCGATTCTTACCCGTATCCGTAATCGTTCTACTCAATTATTTATCCATCAAGCGGAAAAAGGAAATATTCAAATGGAGATCGAAGAATAATGCGAATACGCAAGACGCCAAATCAGTCCTCCCAGAAAAAGAAACCGTTGGACCTTCCGATTTCGGGAGAAACGGAGCTACGAGCGGGATAAACGCCGCGGAGTCGGAAAACGAATTTTCGCTCGGCCTTTTTGAGGTCGGACAATCTAAAATCGATAATAATAATAATAATATTTCGGCGATTATGCCGTCGGATATCGTAACCGATAAAAAATTTAACAATCTTGATCAGGAATCAAAATCCGTTGTTCCGCGAGTTACGAACGCGAACAATCTTACGGCCAATTCTAAAACAGGCCTTAAACTCAATAAGAGCCAACAACGTAAAAGAACGGAAAGGGATCTGGAATACAAGATAAGCATTCGAATGATGGCCATACTGATGATGGAATTCTTAGTCTTCCTGTTCCCCGTTTCCATATACATAATCTCGGTTGATTTCTTCGATTACCTGCTGACTACGGGGGAATCGGACGTAATTTTTGCCGGATGTACCTTGTTGGAGTATTCTTACATATCCTTAAATTTTTACCTCAACATCATATTCAATCCTACTTATCGAGAGGATGTATGCAGATCATTAAAAAAATCCAGTTTGGTCAAATTTATCAGAAAACGTGGGAAAAATTCGGTGGATATCGTGAAATCATAATTAAATTATTTTTTGGATTTATAAATGAATAATATAAATAAAATTTATATGTTCATATCATATATTCTGTTTTATTAGCAATAATTTTATATATATATCTCAAAAAGAAAATTACATAATCTTCAAGATCTTAAATCAATAAATCAGACCCTAAAAAAAAAAGGTGTGAATCAATATATAAAAATCAATTTATTTTTCCTAATAAATTTGATTTTTGGGAATTCGATCGACATTTTTCCGATAACTTTGTATTCTTATTATAATTTTTTTTATGAAAATGATTTTTCTAACAGAAAGGTTCTATCTCGTTTGCAACCAATTTTTTTTTAAATAGGTTTTTTCTGCATAATAATAAGTATAATATTAATACGATGATGATAGGAAATTTAATATTGTATTATTTTTGCAAAGCATTTTGTTTAAATTTCATAATAAAATTGTGTTTAATTTTTCTGTGTAATTTTATTTGAATAATTTTCATAAGAAATTTGTTGCAAAAAATAATATTGTATGATTTTTTGGAAATCCTTTGCCTCAGAGTAAGTGATCTGCATCGGGTCTAATTTTTTCAAGTCGAAACTCGTTCGGGCCGGTTTGGGCCAAGTACGGGCCGGGTTTACTTTTGCCGATCTCTTCCCCAAAGTATACTCTTTCGCCCCGTTAGTTAGAAATAGAACAAATAGTTCTAAAATTTTCTGATAGCTTGTAACTTGTAACATATAAATAATTCTTAAAAAAAATTATTATTGTTCTTAGATGGTGATGATTGATGATTCACTGGAATATCTTCTTGTTTTCAGCTTCCAAATTTTAATAAGCAAGTGGGAAAAAAAAACATAATCCTGTCACCTGTTCGAAAGGTTCCGCGTTCTGGTCGCTTTTCCTTTTAAGACGCGGAAAAATAAAATGAATATTTTCCTTAAAAAAATCTACGCCCATTCCCCCCCCCCCCCTCCGCCAGAAAGATTAATTTCCGTGATAATTTCCAAAGTTTTAATTACGCATTTAAAATTAAATGCCATGATATACAATGGTTGGAACGCTTGTAAAATTATTTATTATTATAGACTCCTGTGAGCCTTAAAAATTTATAATAATAAGTTTATATTTTTTTAAAAAAATATATTTAATATATGAAAAAGTAATAGTTTGAGGTTCTTGCAATAGGTTTTAAAGCCTGCTTCCCAGCCCTACATCCGCTAAAAAGAATTTAAACATTGGCGGGTTTAGCGGACGGTTTAATAATATATCTTTAAAACAATAGGCGGATTCTATTTCATATTTTTTAAAGGGTAAAATTGAGCGGTTCTTGTTTTTTTTTATCATTAAAGTAAAAACCATTATTTTTAAATTTCATTATATTGTACATTTTCATAAGTTTGTATTAAAAAATACATTTAAAAATAAAGTAAATTAAATGGCACAAATCAATAATTGATAAATTTTTTCAAACATTTGGCGGGAACCCGAACCAAAGATTATATAATTTTAAAAAACTTTTGGCGGGAAGGTTTAAACAAATTTTTTAAATAGCCGACGGAATGAATAATTTTAAAAATAAAAACCGTAGGCGGACGTGCAAACGGTTTAATTTTTTTTTAAACAATAGGCGGTAGGCGTTGGCGGTAAAAACTCTAATCCAAGTTTATGCTCCATCTATAAACACTTTATTTATTTAATAATGTATTAATATTCGCATTTATATTTTTTTTTTCAAGTTTTAAATTATATTTATATTTAATTATATAAATTGATTTGCTTAGAAATGAATTTCCACTAAAATCTAAACGATAAATAATATTTAAAAGGTTTATTCAAATTTAAACTTAGAATAATTTTTATTTTGCATTCTGTATTAATTATCTTACATAAAGAGGAGTATTCTGTATTTGAAGTATATGTTTATTTTAAGCAAATAATTTTTGATTTTTAATTTATCATCTTAAATTTGCTTCATTCCCACTCTCAAGTGTTTTTTTACTCATGGTTCAAACTATATTTTCTTTAATTCCTAAACCCACAAGTATTTTAAGAGTTTTCACTTCCATATATCGTTATTTTATTTTATTTTTTTCTTCACACCATATACCCTCTTAACCTATTTCAAATCTTTTCTTAAACTTCTTCCATGTCCTAATATTTTATGTGAATCCATACTATATATATTTTTATTATTATTCCTTGTTAGCTACTCTTTTATTCCTTTTTACTACTTCCGGAAAAAGTAATATATACTATGTATGGTGTTCATAATTGATTAAATTAATTAACTAAATAGCTCGTCAAAGAAGGCGACTGATGAAAGAAAAATTTTTTTAAATATTATTTAATGATTTGGGATGCATCAGAAATTTACTCTTTATAAGACATAATTTAGAATAAATCTTTCCACTATTTTAATAAAATATATAAAATGGAGTATATATTTAGTATACTCTTTGACATATATAACACCTAGACTTACGATTCATTCATTCATTAAAATGCATTTTTTAAGCGTCGGTTAAATGCAAATCAGCTGGAGCCGCCATTTTGTAATTCACGTGTTAAAAACTCTACTATTAAATTGATAACTTGCTTCCCTTATTATCTCGATGATCCGGCAATTCTTTAATAAAGTTTGCATCAGATATCGGAAAAGCTCTCGTTTAAAAATTTGTAATAATGATTTGTGTAACCAAGATGGCGTCTCCAGCTGATTTGCATCGATGTACACTTTTAATGAATGAATCCTCAAGTCTAGGTATTATACGTGTCATTGAGTATTAACAATGAAAACAAATATTTGGGGTTAATATTTTGTAAATCTAAATGTAATAATTTCACAATAGAAAAATTTTTCGACTTTCAATAATTTTTATATACATTTATATTTTGTAATTTGTGGATCTAAAAAAAAAACTTAATTTTTCTAGTTAAGAGTTTTGTAGAAGAAATAGTAAATTTTAAGATAAAATTAATTTCTAGCCCTAAGATTGGATGAAAATATTTTCTATTGCGCATGTTTTTAAACAATTTTTTTTTTTTTTTGTATTTTTAATTTTTGGAATGTAATTACGCCAGGTTATGAAATTAATTACTGAAAATTATTATATAATTTTAGATTTATAAATATGTCCCAAAATATTTGTCCGTTGTCGAAATAATCTAAGATTTTGGGATATCAATTCTCATCAAAATATAAATTTTTTGTTTCAAACCTATATCAGTGATTTGCATCGGGGTCAAGTCCGGACCGAACCCAAAATTTTTTTAAATAAGTATAGCCGACCCGGCCCGAACTCGAAATTTTATATCCGGCCCGGTCTAGTTCGAACCCAATATTTTGTTAAAATAATAAATCCGGCCCCGGCCTACTTTTGCAGATCTCTAAAAAGTTAAATTCCTGATTCAAACCTCTAAAAAAATAAGGTAAATTCAATTGATGCTCCCATCATCGAATGAAAGAGAAATGAATGATTGACGGGTCCTTTTCGCGGGTCAGATGTTAGTGTAATAATATAAACATTTTAAACTTTGATAGATAAACCAAGTTAGTCGCTTGTTTTTTTTCATTATTATTTTTTTTTCTATCTAAAATCAAAAACATAGAATAAATATTTTTTTTTAAAAAAAAGCAAATATGTTCTCATTATATTATTTTTTTATTGACATTCAACTCTGACGGTGTAGTGACCCGTGTCATCAATATTAGGAAACTCGAGGTAAAAATTTGCGTTGCAAGAACCTCCACAATTATCGGATAGACACTTGGCATCCGGAAATTTAAAGCAGGGGCTGACGCTGCAAGGGTCGTAGAAACAAAATGTAGATTTTTCGGAAACTGGGCCGCCATATTGTACGTTATCGAGATCTCTCCGTCTGGCAACGGATGAAGGAGGATTATTGACAACATTTTCTGAGAAAGCGGGGCAATCGCACGTATAGCCATCGGGACAGTAAGGCTCCGAAAATCCATCTGTATTAAATAGGTGTAAATATTTAAGAGGGGGGCGAGGTTAATATAAATGATTTATCGTAATCGCACTCCGCCTCCCCTTTCTCACCCACTACTTCCCCAGTTTATGTTGACATTGGGCGGTTATGAGATAAAATATTTTTATAAAAAAAAGGAAAAAAAAAACCGAAAGTTTTCCTGATTTTAAACTCTCCCATGGGTTCAGAGCAGTTGACCACATTACCCCAGAACCAGTACTTGACTCCACATATCCCGCACGCGTTTGGGTAGCACTCCGCGTTAGGGTAATTTAAGCACCCCAAAGCTGCCTCTTTTTGAGTGGCGGGGTCGTTAGGCGATGCGCAGGCATCGTACCAGCCCGGGCTGCTGGAACAATCTAGTACTTCATCTACGTTGGCACAACCGTGGAATAGCTTGTGATCTAAAAATAAATAATTAAATATATCCCCTTAATCTTAATATTTATTTATTATTTTAACTTCCACATCACCTCCCCCCCCCCTCCCTTCTCTCCTTCATAGTTAAAAGAGTCTATTTTTTTTTTAAATTTTGCTTTTGTTTTTAAAAAAAGAGTTAATTTCGTTCATTAATATGTCTAGTAGGTTTAGCGTCCATTTTTAAATTTATATCTTTAAATAAAAAGAGCTGCTATTAAAAGTGTTCAGTTCGGGTTTCAAGGTAAAAAAAATAAGATTATAGCAGATCGGCTCGGGTTCAGTTCGGGAGAATTGTTTTTGGTTTCGGGTTCGGTTCGGGAGAATTGTTTTTGGTTTCGGGTTCGGGTTCGGTTCGGGAGAATTGTTTTTGGTTTCGGGTTCGGTTCGGCAGTATTGTTTTTGGTTTCGGGTTCGGTTCGGCAGTATTGTTTTTGGTTTCGGGTTCGGTTCGGGAGAATTGTTTTTGGTTTCGGGTTCGGTTCGGTTCGGGAGAATTGTTTTTGGTTTCAGGTTCGGTTCGGGAGAATTGTTATTGGTTTCGGGTTCGGTTCGGGAGAATTGTTTTTGGTTTCGGGTTCGGTTCGGGAGAATTGTTTTTGGTTTCGGGTTCGGTTCGGGAGAATTGTTTTTGGTTTCGGGTTCGGTTCGGGAGAATTGTTTTTGGTTTCGGGTTCGGTTCGGGAGAATTGTTTTTGGTTTCGGGTTCGGTTCGGCAGTATTGTTTTTGGTTTCGGGTTCGGTTCGGCAGTATTGTTTTTGGTTTCGGGTTCGGTTCGGGAGAATTGTTTTTGGTTTCGGGTTCGGTTCGGTTCGGGAGAATTGTTTTTGGTTTCAGGTTCGGTTCGGGAGAATTGTTTATTGGTTTCGGGTTCGGTTCGGGAGAATTGTTTTTGGTTTCGGGTTCGGTTCGGGAGAATTGTTTTTGGTTTCGGGTTCGGTTCGGGAGAATTGTTTTTGGTTTCGGGTTCGGTTCGGGAGAATTGTTTTTGGTTTCGGGTTCGGTTCGGGAGAATTGTTTTTGGTTTCGGGTTCGGTTCGGGAGAATTGTTTTTGGTTTCGGGTTCGGTTCGGGAGAATTGTTTTTGGTTTCGGGTTCGGTTCGGGAGAATTGTTTTTGGTTTCGGGTTCGGTTCGGGAGAATTGTTTTTGGTTTCGGGTTCGGTTCGGGAGAATTGTTTTTGGTTTCGGGTTCGGTTCGGGAGAATTGTTTTTGGTTTCGGGTTCGGTTCGGGAGAATTGTTTTTGGTTTCGGGTTCGGTTCGGGAGAATTGTTTTTGGTTTCGGGTTCGGTTCGGGAGAATTGTTTTTGGTTTCGGGTTCGGTTCGGGAGAATTGTTTTTGGTTTCGGGTTCGGTTCGGGAGAATTGTTTTTGGTTTCGGGTTCGGTTCGGGAGAATTGTTTTTGGTTTCGGGTTCGGTTCGGGAGAATTGTTTTTGGTTTCGGGTTCGGTTCGGGAGAATTGTTTTTGGTTTCGGGTTCGGTTCGGCAGAATTGTTTTTGGTTTCGGGTTCGCTCGGGTTTAGGAATTATAAGAAAAATTTTTTTTATATATTTAAGTAACGAAAAAAATAAGACAAAATTTGGTAAAATTAAAATTATCATTTCATATTTATAAGGCAAAATGTATTTTAAACAAATACAAAGCATAGTGTCATGTATTCAATTTTTGAGAAAATTTTATTTAGAAATGTTAGCATGATATTATTGCAAGAGATGTTGCCTCAGTTTCTAATTTTGGAGCTGAAAGAATGAATTTCAAATGTGAAAAAGATCTTTATTAAATATATTTATAATGTAAAATATGATAGATTAAATTTGGGTTGCAAGGAACAGCAAAATAAAATTTGTTAGATAAAAATATATAAATCAGAATGCCGCAGCTTAGCAGAGTCCCTAAAATGCAAAAATTTCTTCATTTTAGTCCAATCTTTTAAAATGGTTCCAATAATGTATCGTTCCGATACTTTTCTCTGCAACTGTTGGTACTTTTTTGTTGTATTAATTTCTACTAAAATCATCTTGTTCTATAAATTCACCCAAACTATTATCATCAGATTAAATGTGAGTTGATATGGATTTTAACCTGTACTCTATTGGCATAAATCTCTTGATCATCTTTACGTAGTAAACTGCTAATTTAAAGGATTTATACAGTTATAAAATCTAACAGTTACATTTTTTTTTTAAAGTAACGTTAATATTTTAATTTTAAATTTTTATTTATTTAAATCCAATCTGGCAAATTATTAAAAAGATTTCTATAAATCTTACCTAATTTCTTATGATGCATAAAAAAAAATTTTTTTTTTTACTTATCAATGTTCCCTTTTTGGATCATATTTAACTTTATTAAAGAAAAAATAATACGAAGTAAAAGGTAAAGTACTATAGTAAAATAATGTAAAGGATAAATAATATTGTTAAATTAACATTTGAACCATGAAGTCCGACGGGTTTAACGAACGGTGCTCTTATGACCACCGCGTTGGACTTGATTAGGAGACCCGTGCAGTCTTCTATCAGAGTATCCCGTATCCACCACAGCTGTTTGCATTCTTCGCAAATATTCGCGTAACATTCGGCGTGTGGGTAATTTTCGCAGGTCTTAGGGGCGGATAAGCAAGGATCGACTTGGCAAAATTTTATAACGCGACTCCTATTCAATCTGAGAGTTAGGGGGAAATCGGATGGTTCCTCGAAACAACCGAAATATAGTTTGGCATCTTGTATATATTATGTTTAAAAAATCCCAAAAAATCTTTCATTTAGGGTTGAGTTTATTGTTAAAACCGGTTTAATGAGTTTAATAAATTAGAATCAAACTCTAAATTACTTTAACATGACCAAATAAAGTTATTAATTCGATTTTTGAATATATATATATTTTTTTTAAACAATTCTACTACCTGATATGACTTCTTGTGAGGAAGATATCGAAGGATTCGCTACTTCCAGCGAAAGATTAATGTTGAAAAATGGTTTTCTCTTTAACTGGGGTCTATTGAAGTAAACTTGATAAGGTTGCTTATCTTGGTAGACTTCATTTACCCTGCCATCGAGTTCTCTAGCGAATTTGGTTTGCGCATTGGAAGTCTTCTTGATGTAAGGTAGGTAAAATGATCTGTCCTTGCTCTTATGAAGTGTCTCTTGCTTGGTTGGATTTTTAGAATTGGCAGCTCTCTTGATACTGTATAAAAAGCTAGAAGGTTTGACGGTCACTACATCGTAAGAGGTTCGGCCTTTAATTTTAGTCGTATAGTAGGCGGGGGATTTTGTTCGGGCGGGAAATGTTGCACGCCTAGATTGATCCCTCCTCTGCTTCTTTGGGTGGGTTTCACATTCAACGGTTGTGTCCCCTATCCACCATATTCCGTTACACGCCACGCAAACGTTTCTGAAACATTTCGCTTGGGGGTATTTCTCACACACGAGATCCTCGCAGGGGTCACTCGTGCAAGACGCGATGAGGATGCGAGGTACGAGTGTTGGGTCGTTGTTACCGTAACAACCGTAATACATCTTGTTAATGACGTCATTGATATTAGCTTGAGAATCCACCTGGTTCACTTATATATATATTTCAAAACAAATCGATTCATAACTTATCAATTACGTAAGAGCTTAAAAGTCGAATTTGGAAAGCCTGACGAATGTGAGCATAGGAAAAAATAAATAAATAATATCCTGACATTTTAAATTCTTTAAATTTTTTTTGCAATTTTTACTAATATATGTGTTAGCTACAATGCGTTTCTAATACCGTTAATGTGTTACTTTTCTTAACTTTATTCATGTTTGGAATACCTTACCTATGAATTATAGACAATTTTGCTGTTAACCCTTGGACTCATTGATAATTTATATATATATATAAAAATTTAGTATTGTTTAAACGGCTCGTTTTGAACCGATTTTGAAAAAACGGACTAACTCAATATTTCATCCAGAATAATATTACGCAAGGTCCTGAAGATTTTTGCTTGTAGAAGGAACTAAGGTTTGGACATCTATTAGCCGAATCTCGATGGCTTAGGCCGCATTCATAGTGGATCCGATCCGACCACGATTTAACAGCTGATCGATTTTTTAAAATCGGTCTATGAGAATCAATTTTTCTTTTATTAAAAACCAAATATTTCTTAAGTTACTATCCATGTGTAGAATTTTAAAGACAAAATTAATATTGTTACAAAAAAAAAACTGATCTCATAAACAGATTTTTAAAAAATCGAAAACAGCTGTTAAACCGTGTTCAGATCGGATCCACTATCAATGCGGCCTTAGGGCAATATTTTTCTGGCTAAAATATCGGGTTAGCCGGTTTTTTAAAAAATCGAAAACAGCTGTTAAACCGTGTTCGGATCGGATCCACTATGAATGCGGCCTTAGGGCAATATTTTTCTGGCTAAAATATCGAGTTAGCCGGTTTTTAAAAAATCGACAGCTGTTAAACCGTGTTCAGATCGGATCCACTATGAATGCGGCCTTAGGGCAATATTTTTCTGGCTAAAATATCGAGTTAGCCGGTTTTTAAAAAATCGAAAACAGCTGTTAAACCGTGTTCAGATCGGATCCACTATGAATGCGGCCTTAGGGCAATATTTTTCTGGCTAAAATATCGAGTTAGCCGGTTTTTAAAAAATCGAAAACAGCTGTTAAACCGTGTTCAGATCGGATCCACTATGAATGCGGCCTTAGGGCAATATTTTTATGGCTAAAATATCGAGTTAGTCGGTTTTTAAAAAATCGAAAACAGCTGTTAAACCGTGTTCGGATCGGATCCACTATGAATGCGGCCTCAGGGCAATATTTTTCTGGCTAAAATATCAAGAGTTAGTCGGTTTTTAAAAAATCGAAAACAGCTGTTAAACCGTGTTCGGATCGGATCCACTATGAATGCGGCCTCAGGGCAATATTTTTATGGCTAAAATATCGAGTTAGCCGGTTTTAAAAAATCGGTCCAACACGAGCCCTTTAACAACACTATAAAAATATATGAAAAAATTTTATTATAAACTATATTAAGGCCGCATTCATAGTGGATCCGATCCGAACAGCTGTTTCGATTTTTTAAAAATCTGTTTATGAGATCAGTTTTTTTTTGTAATAACATTAATTTTATCTTTAATTCTAATGTTCGTAGCAAAATTGTCTAAAAATTAATGGGGTAGGTATTCCAAACATGACGGGCATACATTTCCGGCTAAAATAAGGTTTTTTAAAAAAAAAAAAATTTTTTTTAAAAAAAGCGCCAAAAAAATGATTTTTTAAAAGTTGAACATAAATATATCTTCGGTCTAGAAATTGGAGTGCTCCACGTGATCCATTTGCGCAAATGTTTAAAAATGAGAAAATTAAAGTTTAAAATTTGTTTTTTTTTTAAAAATCTAATTTTTGATTTTTTTATATATATTTAATTGGAAAATAAGTTATTATTACTGTAACTACTTACATTTTGGCTAAAAAATAACTGTAACTAGTTATATTTTTAAAATTGTAACTAGTAACTGTAATTAGTTATAATTTTAGAAATGTAACTGCTAAAAGTAAGGAAAAATGTAACTAGTAACTGTAACTAGTTATGTTTCCAAAGTAACTTTTAACATCACTAGTTATTATCCACTTCTAACTCCAAATTTTTTTTTCAAAATGTCGAGTGTAAGCACTCCGACTCCAGACCCGACGATATATGATTCGTTTTTCCACGCCATTAACTCAAGAAAGCTAGGATTTTATTTGAATTAATTGTTACGTTATTAAAAAATGAGGGTATTATTTATTTTCATTTTTTTTTTACTGTACCAAAAAAATTTTAAAGAAAGGGGGGGGGGGCATGAAAATTAATAAAGTTTTTTTTTATCACCTCGAGGAAAATGGAAATCTAGACCGCTAATCACCAACGATCAGGAAACTAAAATGGAAAGGGGGGGAGATAGAACTGGAAATTATTAATTTAATCGGTTTAACTTTGATTCGATCGCCATTTAACAGCTGATAGTTTTTAAAAAAAAATCTGTTTTAGAGAATTATGAGAATCATTATTTCTTTAGGTTATTATTATGAATTGAATTTAAAGATAAAATTGATCTCACGAACAGATGATTTTAAAAAATCGAATCAGCTGTTAAAACGGATCGCAATCGCGCCGTTAGGAAATTAAGGTAACTATGAGGACCATGATTTAAAGACCCGATTCTTTCAAATATATTTATAGTCCGCCTCCCCCTTTCCCACCCACCTTCAAAAACGGCGAATTATCGAATTCTTCTTTCATAAATGAGCATGGCGTAACGGTATTTGGAATACAAAATCTTTTCGGGGATTCTCAAAATCTCTCGATTTTTATCTAATCATCTTCTTGAGAACGATTAATTTATACAGAAAATGCGGAGAGTTATTCACTCGTGCTCTGAATATCTGACAATTATTGCTCAATTTTGTAAAGCACACAAAAAATTGATTTAGAGAAAATTGTCTAATACTTCATAGGTCAAGTATCCTACAGATGTTGTGGAATGTGAAATCGAAAATTTATAAAAACAGACTGCAGGTAAGGGTGATTCAAAATTTAAAAATTCCTAATTCTCCCATGGAATTATGGATTTCATATCTAAGCTTCATAAAGGCTAATCCAGGATTTTTGTTAGGAGGGGGCGGGAGCAGGAGATGTGAACCCGAACCCTGGTTCAAGAATTTTAAATTTCATGGTAACAGAAACTTAATCGAAACCGATTTCCCTAACGAGGGTCCAAACCTGCCCCAAGTCTATTTTAGCCCGGGTTTAATGAGGCTGTCCTTAAATCGGTCTCTATTTGTTCCGTGGTTTCAAAATGCCCAACCAAACAATTTTAAATTTTCTAAACCCGGGTTCGAATTCACATAACCGGGCGGGAGGCATTATTCGGCCGTATTCATCCTTTCTTTCAAATTCTCCCTTATAAGTGGATATATTGTATATATCTTTTAGGAGGGGGGGGGGGAGGGGCTGATTCTTGTATAGGAGAAATTATTATTAGCTTTAAAATTTTATTTACTAGAACAAGAAAATTTGGAAAAGATGGGGAATTCCGCACCCCCCCCGCCAGTTATGTGTACCTTGCTTATGCGTAACATTAATAATAAGAACTAGAATAAATAAATAAAAAAAATTATTATTTTTTTTATATCTTAAATTTATTAATTTATTAATTTTTTCTTCTTCTTTTTGAAAATCATGATTATATTGGAATGGAAAAATAAAATGTTAAACATATGGGTTAGACTCAACCTCGGAACATATGATAAAAAGCAGAGACCTGCAGATGGATCATTTGCATTTTTTCAAAAAATTTTTTACTGCCCGTTTGGGTTTTTTTATATTTGAAGGCCCGGCCCGGCACGCATATTAAAAAATATATTTATTTTTAATTTTTATAGCTGTTATAGACTATTTCAAATATTCGGTTTTAAAATATAATTCCCGGCTCGGTTATATTTTAAAAAATTAAAACAGGTCCCGGCCCGACCCTAAAACCCGGGTCGAGCCGAGCCTGTAGGTCTTTGATAAAAAACCTTATTCACTATTACCACTAGAGACCTGCTGATATACTCTTAGGTCCGGGTCGGGTATGGTCCTCGAAAATTTATTTTGTAAAACTCCGATTATTTTACCTTACGTGTTCCTGTGGACAAAATGTTAAGTTGCATAAAGCATTTATTAAATTTCTTTTAAAGTTTAGACGTTAATTACGATAATTAAATTCGTCATTAAGGTAACATTTCAGGATCCATTTGCCCTGTTTCTTATTAATTGTTTATCGTATCAGAAATGAACTTTAATAGAAAACCTTCAGGAATTTATTTCCTAGGGGCGGAAATAGGCCTCGTTCGCGACATCGCATCGCGATGCTAAATTGTAATAATAGTAAATAATTAAACCACGCGGTTATCGCTTAACTATGATCATCGCGCCAACCCTAACCCTGTAAATAATTGGACCTAACCGCGCATTCGCAGTTCACAAAAAAATATAATGCGATAAAAATGGTTTTCGTTCTCTATACGACGGCCCCAACAAAACAATTTGAATTCCCGTTAGTCGCTATCTTAAAGCCGTGGTGCGATGTTCCACGTGACATTTGATCAACTGAGAATGCGCGGTTATTCCCGCCTTATTTTAAAAAAACATTTAGGGTCACTCACTTGGAAGAAAAATCCAGCCAATTAGGAATAATGGGATGACGCGTATAATAGAAAATAATTTTATACCAGAATTTCGCATTTTTTTATTTTATGGAACCAAAACAAAAATGAAAATATTAAATTTAAATTAAGTTTAATTTTTTTTAAAAATTTATATTTAAAACGGATTTATTAATATTTACAAAATATAATTTTTAATTTTATACCAAAATGTAAGTAGGGGTTGAATAAAATTTTTGTAAAAATACTTTTTATAATTTTTTTCTGACTTAATTATTCACGGGATTTCCTGAGGTCTTTATGATTTTTAGATATTAAGAAAATTTTTTTTAAGGTATAAGTAAATTTAGGTACAATAAATTATTTTTTTTTCATGCAAAAATTATATATTTTAAAATTTTATTATAATATTTTTGAGGGATAATATCGTATATTTTTTTTATTATTATTAATCTCTTGACAATGAAAAACATTTTTTTTTGGTCTTTTTTGAAAATAATTGAGTTTTAAGTAAAATAATTTTATTACCATATGTTTAGCTAGAGTTGTTAAAAGATACTTTTTAAATGGATCTAGATACAGATACACTGTCTAAAATAATATCTAGATACAGATATTTTAATCAAAAATCTATCTAGATACAGATACCATATTTTTATATCTAGATACTTGTATCTAGATCCTTTAACAACTCTGATGTTTAGTGACAATGTGTTTATTTTTTAACCAATAAATTATTTTTTTGAACGCCTTTTTATAAATTTATAGTGTTGTTAAAGTACTTATCTTTTTTAGTCAACAATAAAACAGAGTAGCCATATTTTTATCCAGAAATATATATTCTAATAATCAAATCTTTAAGTTGAGGCTCTAACTTATAGAAGCTTAATTCAAATTTTTTAGGTCTAAAAGTTTGACTTACACAGCACAATAGATATGGTTAATAATAGGTAATTTAACAACACTATAAATTTTAGAATTTTGTTCTTACCGGAAATGTACTCCATCAAGTTTAGAATACCGAATTTTGCTATGAACTTTTGAACTTAAATATGATTACATGTTATTATACTTTTTCCAATAGATTTTTATATAAAAATTAAATGACTCAAAGGTTAAACGGCCCAAAATTGCCTACAATTTCTAAGATGGGTATTCTAAACATGCTGAATATAAATTTCCGTAAAATAAAGTCAGAATTTTAAAATTTAAAAAGAATTATTTAGTCTGATCAAAATATTACAAAGTATATATTTAGTAATACCCGAGGTTAAAGCCCGTTTTTCCTGGTGTTTGCTTAAATTTTAAATGTTCGGAAGGGGGAAGGGGGAAGATGTATATTTTAGGTTCTTAGAATTGTCTTTCTTCAGAGTTTTGGGTTTCTGGTTAAAATTCTAAACTATGGCTATGATTTTTTCAGTTTTTGAGAGAGAGAGTTCATTAAAATTGGACAATTATAGATTATATAAATTTTAAAAATTCACCGATTTGTCTAGTGGAGGTTAAAAAAGACGGATTTGATTAGATTTCCCTATTAGCAAACACCCCTTTTAATCTCTTAAAGACCCCGCCCGCTCTAATGTGGACCTTATATAGTTACATTTACAACCATATATCCATTGTAGTCGAAAGGAAAATCCTATGTTCCTACATTAACCATCCATCCATAGTATTCGAAGGGTGGATTATATATACCTATATTAAAAAACCATCTATCCATTATGTTAGAAAATTTCATGGAGCATCAATGCTTTTACTTAAGTTATAATAAAAATTACCACCAACAATTAGCGTCACTTATCGTACCTTATTTTTAAATGAAATATACAAAGTGATAATTTATCATTATTCTGCCCCTTTTTCATATGTCGGTAAGAAAGCTACTTGCAACTTATCCTTTTAACTATATAAAAGGGATAAGATAACCCATGTTTTATATTAATTACTAAATTAATTATATGTTTTTTATTTTAATAAATTAATTTTTTCCTTTTATTTTATATATATATTATTATTTTTTTATAATTGTAACATTAATTAGCGGCAGAATTTTTTTTTTTTTGTTTAAAAAAAATACATTTGTATTATTCTTTCAAAATAATTTACAAAAATGTGTGTTTATCCTGCGTTTCATAATTAGCGATATTTAGTGGCCAAGTATGCAAAATACGCTCTATTTTTGTGTATTAATGTATATATAGCCTATAACATCGCCGCATAATTCGCGCTAAACTGTGACTACAGGGGAATAGGCTTAAATTTTTTTATTTAAAAATATAGATTAAATGTGTCTTATTTTTTCAAGATAAATATTCTCTTTTTAAAATCGACTTCAGGCCGCCTATTTCGAAGACTAAAGTGATTAGATACTTTGATCATAAAAATTGTATCAATAATCTGTCTATTTTTGTGTATTTATGTATTGTTGTGTATAACTTCGTCGCGAATTAGCGTTAAACTGTGAATTACTAAACATTTTTTTTTAAAAAACGGATCTATTTGAATCATAGATAATTTTATATTAAAATTGTATCTCTAATATGATTAATTGAATAAATATCAGAGTTGTTAAAAGATACTTTTTTAAATGGATCTAGATACAGATACATCGTCTAAAGTAATATCTAGGTACAGATACATCGTCTAAAGTATTATCTAGATAAAGATATTTTAACAAAAATCTATCTAGATACAGATACCACGTTTTTATATCTAGATACAGGATTTAAATATATGCCTGTGAAGCAAAAAACCTTTATTTTCACTTTTCTTTGATTTTTTTATCCAAATTTATTTTTAATTTCCTTTTTTTTTACAAAAAAAATAATAAAATAAAACAACTATTTCGAAAAATGAATTAATTAAATTGCTAGCAAATAAAAGAAATCTAGGGAAAATAATTCCCCGAAAAAAAAATACCCGTTTTTTATGATATTTAAAAAAATTAATAAAAATAGGAGAAAAAAAAAATTCTCCTATAAAATATATCCACCAAATATAAAAATCCTCAAATAAAATATGATATTATTCTGGAAGAATTATAATTGAGGGATTATATTATTTTCCATGAGAATTATTTTTCGCTTACCAACCAGAATTGCGGATCTGACAAAAAATATTATTTTTTTAGGGGAGTTATTTAAGTACTAAAATTTAACGGACTCCAGAATCAGAATCCCCTGGATTCTTGATACACCCTCGGAGCCAGCGTGACTAACAGGAACTAGTTCCTAAACTCTGATCTCTGTTACAAAACCACCTCATCCTTTATTCATTGTAGCATATTAGGGTATGGCAAGGATCGGTTATTGAATCGCGATTCGAAGAACTACTATATTGTAAGAAAATGGTAAGATTGAAAAATATTTTGAATTGTAAAAGGGAAAAAAACTACCACCCCAATATATTAAGATATAATCCATTTTTGAATCGCCTTTAGAAATACCCATAATAAGAACAAGCATAAAAGAATAATTTTTCTTGCACTTGTGCGATCGAGGTCTACATGGCAAAATATTTGTTGGAATCAAACCCCTCTCCAAGGCCTACCCCTTAGATATTTATTGCCTTGCTAGCCAACATATTATAAATTAGTATATTATGTTAACAAATGTAACATTAGGATATTATTTATAGATATCAGAGACCTACAGGCCCGGCCCTAGGCCCGGCCTGGTATAAATAAACCCTGGCCGGGCCCGAAAATCTTAATAAATATTTAAAATCTGCATTATTAGCTATAAATAAAATATATTTGAAAAAAAATCCGGGCCAGGCCTGAAAATATTTTTGAAAAAAAAAATCCGGGCCGGGCCGAAAAATTTTTTTTTAAAAATATCCGGGCCGGGGGCCGGGTCGGGCCGGACCGGATACATATGATCCAAATTAATGAATGTTGTTAAACATCTTCGATTTAAGTCGATATTTTAAAAAAAAATGGAACTCAACATTTTCGCCGTATTGCCCTGAGTCTAGAAAATTTTGTTAATGGATGCCTAAAACCTTTATGCCATCTAGTGAGTAAAATTTTTAGGTTTACGCATTCTTGGTATAATATTGAGGTAGCCATTTTGAAAAATCAACTTAAATCCTCCTTAACAACACTGAATATTATGATTTCCATCCAACGAAATAATGTGGGAATACAAATAAATATTAGGCTCACTCTAATTTTTCTATCATATATTCACTTTACCTTTTTAATATATATATTTGTGAAAATAATTTGCCTATCTCTGTCGCTCGCTTTTGCAATCGTTTATTAAAAATTATCCAATTATATTTGTTATCTTTAATAAAATTATTTAATTTTTTTTATGTATCATATAGTTTTATTTAAGTAACAAATTTTTCATTTACGAATTATAATTAAAAATATATATATTATAAAATCTAATGATATATAAAAAATGAATTTTAAATATGTATGTATAAATGAGAAATGGGATAAAAAAAAAATTTATAAATGTTTAAAAATAGGGTACAAATCACCTTAGAGAAGAGTGAATGCTTAAGAAATTGGACGGGTAGATTTCCAGGGAAATCTGCTGGCGAAGAGTAAAATCCTTCATTGGGGTCCCCTGAGATCTGCCTTATTTTTTTTACTATAGTTTTGATGAAATTGAGAGCATCACTTTCGAACATGCCTAGGGTATTGGTAATGATAGGGATATACAAGGTATTAATGAGGCAAGCATATTCGTTTTTTTTAGGATTTCGGCCTTTTCGATAGCAGAAAATGAGTGGTTGGACTTGGCGGCAAAATCAACACAGGTATAGTCCAGGCTAGGGAAAGTCCATTAGTCCAGTGAATGAGAGATATGCCATCGGGCGTATGGCGTTTTCGTTTGAGAGGCCCACTGGTTCGAGAGTGGATGTCATATTAACTTAAGAGCAGCTAGGAGGATGTTGTTAATAGATTTATGACGCGGTTATCGTCCATAAGAGAACTTGCAGTGCAAGGCATGGTAAGCTTTCGATTCGATGAGGTGGCCACAGTCGATGCAAATGGAGGGATTCACGGTATTACAGCCAAGGCGGAGGGCTATGGAAATGCGTAGCTGTTCTCTAGACATGAGGAGGCCAAGGTTTGAACTGGGGATGGCTTCGAGCCATTCGTAACCTGAGCTTGCATATAATACTAAATTATTGGGATTGTCCTCAAAGGGCCTGTTCCAAATAAGGTATTCAACGGAACGGGCGATCAGAGGAGCATCCCAATCTTTCTGAATGCTGGAAGCCGACGAAAAATAGTGGGTGAGCAGTTACTGTCCCAGATGGTGAAGGTGTAAGAGGTCAGTGTCTGAAGGAGTGGATCCATTGTCGATGATAGATTGTGCAGCAAGACAAGATGAGATGAAGGCTGAGAGGGAAAGTGTATCTGAAATCGGACACCAATAACCACTATACTTGATGGGAACAGTGGCCTAAAGCTAAGATGAATTGGAAAATTTAAGGTTTAATATCAAGAAAAACCTTAATTTGGGTTTCATGAAAAACTAGCAAGTCACGGCATTTAAAGATGGGAGAGGATCTCAGGGCGTTAAGGATTTTAGGTGTGTGAAATAATTTTTTATTAAAAAAAAGATGCTGGGAGGTAATTAAATAATGTTTTTAATTTGGATAAATTGTTGAGGTATTTGCTTTAAAATGTCTTAATGTCTTTTTCACCTCCTATAGGTGATCCAAGATGAGTCATCTCGTCTATGTTATAATTTTTTATACAAATCTAACTGAATAACTTTTACTCTGAAATTATTGAAATGTTTTAAAATTATTACGATTTAATATCATTTAATTAATACATAATATTATTATTATTAATGTCATATAGATATGAAATAACTGTCTAAATTAATAACATATTTAAAATGTTAAATATAGGTTTTGCCCTTTTTACCCAATCAATAGATTACCTTCATAGGCCAACTGCATCTAAGCGCTCAGGCTCTAAGACACTGATTTCTCTTAATATCAGCCCCCCCCCCTCCCCCATACATTTCTTATCACATCTAATAATAATATTAAGGATAACAATAAATTAATACCCCATACCATATCAAAATCTTTAAATAATTTACTAGACCATTTAAATTCAACCTTTACATTATTAAATACAAAATTAGGATAACAGCTGCTTAAATTAATTCCTTGTTAAGAATTTTCCACCTATTTTCGCTAGAATAACAAGAATTGTTTTAGCCAGCATTACAAAACTTGAAAAACAATATTATAATCCTGGAAGAAATTGTTTAAATTTCCATTTCATATATTAAACGTGCACAAAGATAGGTAAAGATCGTCCATTTTCACAGGTAATTTATAGCTATCTAGGTTTTTGCTCAAAGAGTGGGGGGGGGGGGGGGGGGTGGGCAGAGGTGGCACAATAAGTTAACTTTTTTCTCATAAATCAAATTGGAGGATCAATGAGTCTACATATTTCATCCTTTGACTGTTATATTTTTTAAAGAATAATTTTGGTTTTTCACTTCTTATTTTTTATATAAAAATTTCTTTTTTCCTAAAAATTTTTGAATTATCATTATTTTTAAATTATTAACTTTTACTTTTCATTTTTTATAAATCATTTTTTATAGGGGATATATTATATATGTTAACGTCATATTTTTTTCGGCAATGTGTTATTTTTTTCAACTCTAAATCATCTTTTAAATGGGTTATGTTTTAAATTTAAAAATCTGATGTCTAAAATATATTCCAGTGTTTAAAATATCTACCTTATAAATTTCAGACAATTTTGCCGTGAACTTTAGAACATAATAATTTATATAAAATTTTTAAAATATTTTTTATATAAATTATAAATGATTTAAAAATTAACAGCAAAATTGTCTATAATTAATAAGATATGAATTCCAAACATGATGGAATGTATTTCTGGTAAAATTAGATTTTAAATTTAAAAAAACACGCTCAAAAAATGATATAATTGAATAAATAACACATAGCCAGAAAAAACACATTGACAACATATACTTTTTTTGGGATTGGGGGGAGGGAAGGGGAGTGAAGTGTGTATAGGGAGGAATTTACTATTAGATTAAAAATATTAGTGAGACTGAGCATATTCTGAAGGAAATTTTCTCTTGCTCCCACTCCTAGCTATACATATTTATATTAACTTTACCATCAAATACCTGGTAGATCCTGACTCTAATAAGGTGGAGAACTTATTTGCAAGCCCCTGCAAATTTAAACAATAATTAGTTTTTAAATAACAAAAACTTTACCAATGGCGATACTAACCTTAACAATATCAAATATCAGATGTCCCAAAAAATTTTATCTCTGAAATTTTAAAGTTAATGGAGGTTTACCACAGAATTTTATCCCTTAAGTATATGTTACACTAGTAATTAACCTTTTAAAACACCAAATCGCATTTGATCTTTTGGTATAGAATTATTTACAAACGAATAAATAATTTCTTAGCAGATATTTTACCACCTAACTTTTGAGAATGTAATATAATTAATTCATGGAAACTAAGTCAGGACTCAGGAGTAGTTTTTTAAAAAGCCCTATTTGGGTAGATTTAAAAAACATCCGCATTAAGATTTTAGCTTATATTTTAAAATCATCGAGATTTGGCAAATAGAGGTTTAAATATTTCTGCTAAATATGATCAAAATCTCCAGGTCTAGTTAAAGTTATTTTGGCCAAAAAACGGGACTTTTTATAAACGACCTAAATTGGGCTTTTTAATAACACTACTTATGAATATATGTATATTTGAATAGGTAACATCAGGCTTTAATTGTTTGATTATGTTTTTAGTTTTAATCTGATTTTATATGGTAGCATTTAATATAAAAAAGTTATAATTCATTTTTAAATAAAACCTCTTTGACAAGTGACCTTTAAATATTGTATGAGATATCATAAAATCCTGGATTTTGTAACAAGTGACAGTATGGCAATCGTTTGATTTTATTAAAACTTTAAGTGTAATATTTTTATAGTTTTGGGTTTATAAGCATTCATGTCGAATATATATTTAAATGAACCTCCAACTAATGGAAAAGTATATTAAATGATATATATTTCATTTTATTTTGTTAATTATAATATTAAGGTTCTTTTAACTACAACTTTTGGAGATTTAGATATTGAACTATGGTCAAAAGAATGTCCAAAAGCTTGTAGAAATTTTGTTCAACTATGTATGGAACATTATTATGATGGTAGTGCATTTTTTCGCATTATAAAGGGGTTTATGGCTCAATGTGGAGATCCAACAGGAACTGGGACGGGAGGAGAATCAATATATGGGGCAGCCTTTAAAGTAAAAAATTAATATAAATTTATAAAATCTTATCTGTAAGTTCTATTTGTATACTTATTTATGAAGGGTAATTTTATTAAGTATCAAAATTTACTATGTAAAATGATTACTATTTTTTTTAAAAAAATATTATATCAACAAATTCTTTAATTTTTAAAAAAAATATGTCTATGGACACATTTGTGAAATATATTTCATTCAAGTAGACAAGGCATAATTTAGAAATTAGGGGATAATCAGGTCTGATCAAATTTTTAAAAAATTAGACATTGGTAAAACGTGATGTTAAATGCTTGATTTAGACAATTTTTTAAAATGGTTAACTCAAAATTATTGCCTTTAGTTAATTACTTAAGCTTAAAGATTTTTCATGTTAGAATTTAACCTATCCACCAGAATTTTAAAGCTAAGGTAATATTGTGGCCCAAAAATCTTGAACTGTTTAACACTAGGTATAACAAAGGAATTTGGATTGGTAACTCTTAAAAAAATCTTATAGTTATCATAAACATCTCCAACATTAATACAATGTCTCATAAATTATATTTTTAAACGAGTATATGTCAATAATTTTTTTTTATCTAAATAAAAATGTAAAGCCAAATCATATTTTTAAACATGTACTGGTTAAAGGTCTTCAAAGGATAGTCCTAAAACTATACAATAAAAACTATGGCAAGCAGCCACCCATCTCTCTCCCTTATGAGAATTTGGATATGCTTATGGAAGATAGAGATATATTCAAAATAACTTATTATTATTTCTTTAACATATATTCCAGTATTGCTGGAAGTTTGCTCAAGCATTCCTCGATAAATCGTTAAAATTATTTTTCATTGGCACCCCTAAATTTTATATAGTATGTTTATCTCCTACCATTTACTGTGTTCTTGTTTCAGCACAGCATTCTTCCTTTACTTTCAAGAGAATATAGCCTATTTGTGCTAGTTTATAGATCGGTCAAGACAGTTCCTTTAATTAGCATTGATTATTAGTATAAGGACAATATTTTATTATAGGATGATATAATTATAGTCAATTACTTTTATTTCAAGTAATACAATATAATAAATTATTATTGTCATATTGTATATTGTATTTTATATAAGTTATTATTATAATGTTCCAACTCCATTCTTTTTTGGGCACATATTATTTTGATTGGTCCAAATAAAAATTTAATCCTCCCTCCCCCCAATTGAAATATATCATTTGGCGCACCTTTTATGGAAGTGGCTAGGAATGCCACCGATCTATTCCATTATAATATAGGAGTAATTTTTGATTATGTTTATTGTAGGATTTCTAATAGTTGCTTATTCATCTTAATTTTACTTAAATTTTAAATGAAAATTTATTATATTTCAATGGTAAAAATCAAAAGTTTATAAAAATTATTTGATGGATAGAAATGATTTAGTTATTAAGTCAATCATATATTTAAAATCTTGCATTATTTACCACAAATAATTAAGTACCTTTATCAAATAATGAACTGATTGATATATTTTAGTCTCCATATTTCTAAAATCTTAGAGTCCTCTAAAAGTTTTCAAAAAAACGTTTTTTTGATGTTTAGAATATCTCTACTAGTTTTTTATAATAGTTGTTACTTTGTTGCCAAATATTTATTAAGTTTTTTTTGTGAGTAAATCATGACCATATTTTTCATTGTTAGAATATAATTGGCACAACTACAACTTCGTTTTTTTTATCTAAAGGATCAGTTATAAACTGTGATATCGTTATTACCATAGGCTACATATTAGTTGAGGATATGGCCCGACTTTTAAAATAAATCCTTGAATAAATATCTTCAGCTTAATGCCATTTTTTTTGTAAAACATTTGTAATGGTATTATAACTATGTAAATAAAGAAAGGAAAAAATAAAATTATTTTGATTTGTAAAAAAGGGTACTTTTTTTCCTTGAAGCTTTCTTTTCTATTACTAATCTTTAAACACATTATTAACATTATATTATTTGTAATTGAAAATCAAATCCATAATATCTTTTACATAAAAAAAAATATAACAAAGGATGAATTTCATCAAAGATTACGCTTTACGAGGCCAGGTTTAGTAGCGATGGCGAATGCTGGACCCAACGATAACAATTCTCAGTTTTTTTTCACCCTCGGTCCAACACCCGACTTGCAAAATAAGCATACAATATTTGGCAAGGTAATAATTAAAATTTGAGTGTACACATATTTTTTAAGAAAATTACCATCTTTTACCATTTAAATTATTTATACGAAAGTAATATATGCTGCTTTAACCTTTTAATGATCAATAATCACTTGATTGGTTACGAGATGTATTCTCTCATCCCATCACACAAAAATATTTTAAAATATGAAAACCTCGTCCAAAACTAGTGTTGTTAAACGGCTCGTTTTGAGCTGATTTTTAAAAACGGGATAACTCGAGGATTCATCCAGAAAAATATTACACAAGCCCTGAAGATTTTGCTCATATAGAAGGAACAAAGGTTCTAGACATATATTATCAAAATCGCTAAGAAAATATTTTTCTAGCTAAAAATCGGCTCATGATGTGTCGTCTTAACAACACTAGCCCCAACCCACTCCCTCCATAGATTTTATTTCGACCAAAAATGGAGCAGGAAAAGTTAACGTTATTTTGCCTCTAAAGGGTACTGTGTACTGTCATATTAAATTTTTTATTTTTAAAAAATTATTTTGTCCGACATTATTCAAATTTATAAATTGTCACCCGATTTTATGTATCACGTGTAAAACTAGTGATCTCTTTGTCTCAAAAAAGGTATAAAAGGGACTAGATTTTATAATCATCATGACTTTTATGACTTTTTTTAAAAAACATATTTAATCAATAAAATTTGGAGTTGAAAATTTATTAATTTAAGTTTTAGAGTTGGGTGGGTTAATTATGTGAGTTATAAAATGGCGTTGAGTTTTTTTATAGTATATTGACCACAATAACGGTTAGAGTTTTTTTTATGGTGTATAATTATCATAGGTACAAATGATAAATTTACTCAATTTTTCAAATTCTATCTCATACTGTTTAATTTCTCACAAAAATACTAAGGGCCTAATAAACATGGGTGCTTATGATATTAGCCAAAAAAAATTTTTTCTTTTTCTTTAGTATGAGCTATTTATTGATTTACGTTGCACTCCACATATTTTAAACATTTTTTAGCAGATTATTACTTCTTTTATTTAACATTAAGGTTTCTGGCGATACCAAATACAACATGCTGAAGTTAAACGAAATTCAAATAGGCGCGAATGATAGACCTATACAGCTGCCAAAGATCAAAAAGGCTATTGTAATTTTTTTTAACATTTATCACCATTCTATTTTATTCTTTAAATGTATATTTTTAAGCGATTATCGGTTTTTGTTTTTACCCATGGTTTTATGAAAATAAAAACTATTTTTAAATATTATTTTTTTTTAAGCAATGAATTAAACTGAGCCAAGTGTGTGTATATATCAATGACATATATAATACCTGAGACTGACGATTCATTCATTCATTAAAATGCTTTTTTTAAACGTCGTTAAAAGCAAATCAGCTGGACCCGCCAATTTTGTAACATATATAGTAATTATTCTCACGTTAAAAAGTACTATTAAATTGATAACTTGCTTCCTTATTATCTCGATGATCCGGTAATTCTTTGATAAAGTTTGCATCAGATATAGGAATAAATTAGGCTCTCGTTTAAAATTTTTTTAATAATGATTAGTGTAACCAAGATGGCGTCTCCCGCTGATTCGCATTGATGTACACTTTTAAGATATATGTCAATGGTATATATATGTATATATATATATACTTTAATATTTTTTTTGCATCTAATACTGAAGGTATATTAATAATAATAATAATAAAGAATGTACTAGGAGTTGTTTCGATATAAATATAACATCTTCATAAATTTAAATTTCCGGGAAAGATGTAAAAAGGTTAGAAATACACATAATGACTAGGGACCCGAAAACGAATAATTGTGCAGGTTCGAATAAAAATGGCGGTTTCGAATATGATAATATCGGTTCGGGTTCGAATAAAAATGGCGGTTTCGAATATGATAATATCGGATCGAGGTTTGAATAAAAATGGCGGTTTCGAATATGATAATATCGGATCGGGTTCGAATAAAAATGGCGGTTTAAGATTCGTTTTCTTAAAATATAATAATATGGTTTCTAACCTTTAAAAAACGGTTTGAACTCTTTCGATGCGAACTTACTAGTAGAATTATATATAAAGAAAGCATAAAAGGAAGAAATACACAAAAATTTAATCGAAAACTTGTGATAATAATCCTTTAAATATAATTCGGATGTATAAAAATTATAATAAGCTATATTATTTGCATTATTTTTTTTGTAACCATTAAAATCATCGAATTCGAATTGGGTTTCATGAGCACTTTTGACTGTTCGGTTCAGGCTCGGTCAGTTGACAAAAAATTACTTTTCTGGTTCGGTTTCAGATTTGGGTTGGATTCTTGATTATGAGTTTTTTTTAAAAAAAATATTAATTTTGAAAAAAAGATCTTCGAAGAATTTGCAAAATTGAATTATTTTTTATCTAGAGGATCGAGATGTTTTTTAGAAGAAATTTATTATTTCGTGATTAGCAATTATTTATGCATTAAAAATATCGCAGCAAACTCTGCTGAAAGCCCTGTTTCTCAACCTCACCCATCCTAAGCTTGCCATTCATTTTTCAATGCCAGACTCTTTTGACAAATTTTAAATTTAAAATCAGATTGCAAATATCTTATATTGTTGAAAAGACTCAGCAGATAGAACCTTCATAAAATATCGTTTAAAAATTAAAAAAAAATATCGATTCTAGATGTGTAATCGACCATTTATTTATTTATAATATATATATATTATGCACTTATCTACCAGATCTTATCCAACCCGTTTACCGATATAATCCCCCGTATTTCTCTCGAACAGAGGCAAAAAGACGAAACCAATAAGAAAGTTACAACGTCTCCCAAAAAATTGTTGGCCTCCAAACGCTTAAATTTGCTTTCCTTCGGCGAGGAAGCTATGGAAGAGGAGATAACCTTTAACCAGGTTTGTATATAAAATAGATTAAGCTTCTAGAAATTGTACCTCATCTTGCTCATATTTATATATATATTATTTTGGGTGGCTCTCCAATTATATTTAGGCAGACCTTCTTATATTGAACATACTTAGATTTTTTTTTTAAAAATACCTGGGTCTGGCCTGAAAAAATACAAAACCCGGGGCATAGCGGACCGGGACTTCTGCTTAGAAATAACATTATGGTAAAAGATTGATTGAATTTTTTTTTTCTTTAGGAATATCCTAATATATATAATTTGCGTGGCGACCAATATAAATATTTTATCTATTAAAATTTTGACATTTTTAATATTTAAAAAAAAAAGAAGAAGATCTGTCAGAAGTGTCAAGATAACGTGCTTTCGAAATTTTAAGAAATGCCAATTACCTCTTGATCTTTCTTTTTTTTGAGTCAGTGCTTCGAAAAATTTAGATATTTTGATAAAGCCCCCCCCCCCCACCGTATTTAACTAATATACCAAGTTGCATTCATTTTAAGTAAAGATATAATTATAATACAGACTGACGATGCATTCATTAAAAGTGTGCATCAATGAAAAACAGCTGGGGACGCCATTTTGGTTACTCATGTCATTAAAAATTTTAAACGAGAGGCCAATTTATTATCCCTATGATGATCAGGAATAAAGTTATCTATTTTAATTGTATTCAACGTGAGAATAGATACTATAAGGGTTACAAAAATGGCGGCTCCAGCTGATTTGCATGCAACGACGCTTTCAAATGCCCAAGTATGAATGTGTCGTCAGTCTAGGGGTATCATTATATGTCATTGGGATTGTTATTTTTGGAAATGACATATGATAATATCTAGACTGCCGATCGCAATTCGTTGAAAGCGTACATCAACGAAAATCAGCTGGAAACGCCATTTTGGTTACCCATTCCTTTTTTTAAAAATGACATATTTTCGAATAACGTCAATCTGGTTCATAAAATTTAGGATAATACAATATTGATTGTTTTAATTTAAAAAAATAAAAATGAGATTATATAAATAGTCTTTGACATGAGATAATAATTACTATACCGGTTACCAAAATGGCGGGTCCAGCTGATTAGCATTAAACCACGCTTTCACAAGCATTATTATGAAATGCATCGTCAGTCTTAGGTCTTATTATATGTCATTGGTTTTTGGGGACTAATAGCGCACACATATTGAACATTTTAACACTGCGTTTTCAAAACGCAAATGACGCGTCTTATTTGCCATCGTTTAAATTGAGTACCTTTTTCGTTTTGTATTTTGAATTATTGATACGCGTTTTTAAAACGCTGCGTTGAAACGTTCAATTCGTACGCACTATAAGTGACTCTATTACTAAATTTAATTGGATTATACACATTGTCTTAACTAGTGATGTTAAACAAACTCAATATTTTAGCCAGAAAAATATTGCTTAGGCCATCGGGATTTCGATAACATATGTTCTAAACCTTTGTTCCTTCTACGAGCAAATTCTTCGGGGCTTGCGTAATATTTTTTCTGGATGAAAATATTGAGTAGTTAGCCGTTTTTTTTAAAAATCGGCTCAAAACAAGTCGTTTAACAACACGCTAATCTATTAATTAGGAGTGTATTTTTTTTATTATTAAACTATAGGTTCTTTCGAATCATTTTCTCTTTTTGTTTTTGAGAGATAATATCGATACTATTATATCGAGAAATAATAAAAAACAATTAATGGGCCATTTAAATTTACGATGCTAGCAGCAACAATCCGCTAAAGGCGTGAGGATGGGCAAAAGTAGCCACGATTTAACGGACGACCCCACGTTATTAAAGGAATCGCTCAACCCGACTTATGTAGATGGGATGGAACAAGATCTCGTCAACGATAACTTAAATTTCAAGCCCAAACATAAAACAGAGGTATTATTACGAAAATTAAATAAAAACAAATATTGATAAAGGGGAAAAAAAACGAACATGATAAATCAGCTTGTTTTTTTTTTCGTTTTTTAACCGTTACATTTTTAAAATAAAATTGTATCGTCTAATAAAAAATACAATTAAAATTCTATATTTTTAAGGACTTCTTCTTTTTTTTTGTCGTGGCCTTAGATTCACTCATTTATTCGATCAATTGTTTATCGTTTTACTCTCCCAGACACTTTTTTTTTGTTCGTAAAATTGGGAGACATATTGGAATGATTTGGAAGTTTGGGAAATCCTTTTCATTATTTTTAAATTTCCAAATAAAAAAAAAATGGATTGACCAAATATTTTTAAACTCCTTTCTCGAGTAACAAATCGCTTTTAAAAAAAAAACTTCACGTGTTTGTGTAGATATAAGCAATAACTGAGTTGGGGAGGAAACAGGTAGGGTGAATGGTTATAGAACAAGCCAAACATAACTGGTTCTTTGTGGGGCGGTCGATTAAGTTCTGGCTAAGAAGGCCAAGTTCAATTAATCCAGTCCCTAGGACTACTCGTCAATTGGTCTTCTTTCCTCTTTATAATGTTTGTGAGGAAACCCCAGGAATATGTCTTATCTAACATGGAAAACACAAGATGCTACCATTTATTACCTATACGATCAATTTTTCTAAGAGTAATATAGTCGATACCTACAACTCGTTGAAGTACCAATTTAAAGGTTCGGGCCGGATTTGAATTTCAGTTCCTAGCTCGACCCCTACCCGTATTTGTAGGAATTTTAATTTTTAAAGCTAGTACTCCACTGGGCATAATTTAGTCTGAATGGTATATCGAGAAAAAAAAACATAAAATTTGAGCTCCTAAAAGTCCTGTAGAATTCGAGTTATATATTTTTTTTTATTATCAGAGATCTCGGGTCGGGCCTGAATTTTTCTTTTATTTTAAAACCAAAAATTTAAAAATCGCCATTATTAGCTATAAAAATCAAAAAATATTTTTTAAAAAAAAAACCGGGCCGGGCCTCGAAAATATAAAACCCGGTTCGGGCCGAAAAAAATCCGGGCCGGGCCGGTCTCCGATTATTATTTAAAAGATTTTCACGAATATTTATTTGGTTTTTTATTTCCATAATTTTTTTTATAATAGTTAAATATGGTGGACAAAAACAAACTCGAAACTATAAAAAACAAAATTGTCAGCATACAAAATCTTAATCCCGATAACGAAAAATTGAAGAGGTTGGGGGTGGAATACCTGGAGGAGGAGGCCGAAGATGAAGAATCTGATGCGGAGTAAATATAACTTCCCATTTTTCTGTCAGTGCCTATACTATCACGATACTTGTCAAAGTATCGGATCGATATCTTTTGATACCT